CTCTTGGTTTCTCACTCCCCCCCACACAACTCCCCCCCCCAAATGTCATGCTTATTATTTAATTGTTCTTTAATGAAATAACCATAATTAGGATTTCCCCTCCAACGTCTCTGAGCAAATTAAGTCAGGTGCCTCACGCTTACCCATGCATTCGTGAAATTGTGGAAGGCGATGTTGGTGGGAGATTAGAATTTGCTGGCTGGGTGGCTGACCAATGAACCTTGCCGGTGTATCCAGAAGTGTTGAGAGCACTGTGGAGAGAAGGGGAAGGAGAAGCGGAGAAGAGGAATTGATTAAAATGGGCACAGGCTCGAAATAATGACTCCCCGATAGCGGTAATTAAGGCCAAGATGTCGGCGAGGGCGGCTGCCGGCGAGGGGAAGAGGAACGCGCCGCGGTAGGTTAGGAGCGGAGGAAGTCCGGAGCAGGAAGGAAACATTCGTTTTACTTCGTTTGTATCCCGACTTTCACCCCAATGGGGAGCCAAAGCGGAGGACATCATTTCCCAGTCCTCCATTGCATCTCCGCAGCAACCCTGCGAGGTAGGCTCGGCTGAGGGCGTCTAAGCCAAGGTCACCCAGCAAAGCTTCCATGGCGTGAGTGCGGATTTGAACCCGGGCGTCCTAGATCCTAGGCTCTTTCTACACTCTCTTTTTAATCCACGTTCACCACAGTGTGTCCTCCAAGCAATTCTGCACTAAAATCGAGTTCAACCTTCTTTTTATTCTCCCGCCCCCATTCTGCACTAAAATTGAATTCAACCTTCTTTTTATTCTCCCGCCCCCATTCTGCACTAAAATTGAATTCAACCTTCTTTTTATTCTCCCGCCCCCATTCTGCACTAAAATTGAATTCAACCTTCTTTTTATTCTCCCGCCCCCATTCTGCACTAAAATTGAATTCAACCTTCTTTTTATTCTAGTTTTTTCCCGCCCTATTCTGCATTAAAATCAAGTTCAAACGTCTTTTTATTCCAGGTTTTTTCACCATTCTGCATTACATTCTCTCCCTTCAGTGGTCAGCCCGGTCTCAGCCTGCTGTTGCCCCGGGTTATTTGGAGGCTGTTTTGCCCTGGACTTATATTGCCTCGACTCGAACACTGAGAAAATCCGGAGCGGCCCCCCCCCATTCTGCACTAAAATCGAGTTCAACCTTCTTTTTATTCTCCCCCCCCAATTCTGCACTAAAATCGAGCTCAACCTTCTTTTTATTCTGTTTCCCCCCCCAATTCTGCACTAAAATCGAGCTCAACCTTCTTTTTATTCTGAAATCCAAAGGAAGCTCTACCACTTTCCCCAGTGCAAACGGATATGTGTGGGCAAATTGCTTTTCCAAAAATATCAAAATATTTGGAAGACGTTTAGATATTTCACATTAGATTGACCTGCACGTCCCTCTCTCAGAACAAGAGCCACGTGGTTAAGTGAGTCCCTCCCACCTGGAAAGCTGCTAAAATGGAATCCAAGGGTCTAAAAAAAAATTAATTTGAAAACAATTTCTCTTTTGCAGCCAAAAGTCAAAGCTCAGAACGACCATGGTCTCTTATAGTACAGGCCTGCATTACAGCACAAGCCAAGGGACACATACTAGGGGAGGGGCCGTGGCTCAGTAGCAGAGCACCTGCTTTGCATGCAGAAGGTCCCCGGTTCAATCCCCGGCATCTCCAGTTAAAAGCATCAGGAAGTAGATGATGTGAAAGACCTCCCTCTGAGACCCTGGAGAGCCGCTGTCAGTCTGAATAGACAATATGGACTTTAATGGACCAAGGATCTGATTCGGTATCAGGCAGTTTCATGTGTTTACCATCTCATGTGCAGTGTTCCCTCTAAGCTGTGGAGTTGTGTGAGCAAGAATTCTACTTTGTGAGCTACTGGCATTAAAGTTGTGAGCCAGCAATTTGGCTGCTGCATCAATTAGCTTGCTCTGGAGGCATCCCTTCCTGAGCTAAGACAAAAATGTGTGAGCTGGAGGCTAAAAAACTGTCAGCTGGCTCACACTAACTCAGCTTAGAGGGAACACTGCTTCATGTGTTCATCTCTTTATCATATGATTACCCCGTTCTTTCCACAAGGATCTCTGAGCCAGCATGGTATCGTGGTCGGAGCGTTGGAAGTGGCTCTGAGAGACCCAGGTTCGAATCCTTAACTCTTCCACGGAAACTTGCTTGATGGCCTTGGGCTAGTCACTCTTTCAGACTAGCCTGCCTCACAGGGTTGTTGTTGTGAGAATAACGGAGAGCAAGGCTGTGAGCCAGTTTGGGTCCTCAAATAAATAAAAAATAAAAGACATGATCCTGCCCTCCTCCATTACAATCCTTACGACACCCCTCTGAGGTAGGCCAGGCCAGTTTATGGTTCAGTGGGGATTTGAACTCTCATGCGGAAGTCTCCTGTTGACTGTGGTCTTACATTCACTTTGGTGGCTGGAAAGTGCTATCAAGTCGCGGCTGACTTATGGCGACCCCCGTAGGGTTTCCAAGGCAAGAGACGTTCAGAGGTGGCTGGCCATGGCCTGCCTCTGCGTAGCAACCCTGGACTTCCTTGGCGGTCTCCCATCCAAATACTAACCAGGGCCGGGCCTGCTTAGCTTCCAAGATCTGATTAGGTCGGGCTAGTCTGGGGCTGGCTCTGCCTCTGGCATTCACTCCACATTTCCTCAACGCTGAGGAAAAGGTGCAGCTCAAAACCACATTCTAATACCCCGGGGCCAATGCCCTACGGACTGCAAAGTCACCCTGGATGGCCATAAAATGGCCATTATGCAGAAGGTCCCATAAAACCCAACAATCAGATTGCATTTGTATTGACATTGATCTAGTATTGAAGGTTGAGGAACCTTTGATTTCGGTACTTCTAACTGCAGCTAAGTGCATCACTGCGAAGAATGGGAAAACCCAGGCTGTCCCCTCTATAGACCATGGGTACACTAAACTATGGGAATACCTGGCTGATGACAAAACTGCTGAATGGTCCGCCCAGCATTGTCTAATCAAAAATACTCATCGCCCGATGACCAAATGGAAGGTTTTGCTAGCTAAACGAAACAGGTTTATGATGCACAGGCCACGTAATCCTTGGACAAATGCCTTGTCACCAATGTTCCCTCTAAGCGGTGGAGTCTTGTGAGCAAAAATTCTACTTTGTGAGCTACTGGCATTAAAGTTGTGAGCAAGTGATTTGGCTACTGCATAAATTAGTTTGCTCTGGAGCCCTCCTTCCTGAGCTAAGACAAAAATGTGTGAGCTGGAGGCTAAAAAACTGTGAGCTAACTCACACTAACTCAGCTTAGAGGGAACAGTGCTTGTCACTATACATGTGTCATTAGGTTAAAATTGCAGGTTGCTGTTGTTATATAACCTTTAATTTTGATGTTAACTATAAGTTTGATACAGCTATTGGTGTTATGTTGTTTGTTAACAAGGTACTGCTCGGAAAGTTAACTTCCTCTTTTTGCTGTATCAATATTTTTATCGTATGTTGATATTCTGTAATAAAATAAAAGAAAATTAAAAAACAAACAAAAAATGCAATGCAGAGGGTACCACAAAACCCTATGATGAAAGAAAGTGAAAGCTGCATGCAATGCAAAGGTCAATCTCTGTTCCAACAAGTGGGCTTGCTAAAACAACGGAGGAAAAAGCCGATGCGGAATCGCCCTGGGTCATCCAAGTCAGAGTGCACACACTTTAGGGAGGTGATTTCTAGCAGCTCGTCGGAGGAGGAACAGAAATCTATGCATCTAGAATGCAAGCTGCATTTTGCTCGTGTATCTTAAAATAATCAGCAGAGTGGCCTCATTTATAAGATAACTTCGTCAATTCAGGTGGAACCAACAACTTAGCCCGAAGAATGGAAGATGAGGATCCGCTGCATGAAATTCCATTATACCTGGCAATCTATCCGGCGATATTGGAAATTAACGCACAACTAATCACTGTGTGAGGACGGGGATATCTGAATCACACACCGCAAAGAATTTTTTATTTGTAAAATGGCCTGACCTTTAGAGCGTGCAAACCGGGATTGGCCGCTGACAATGACAGTTGTGGCTGGCCACTTTCTTTTCGGAAAGGAGACGAGAAAAGAACAGATGTTCCCTCTAAGCTATGGAGTTTTATGAGCAAATATTCTACTTTGTGAGCTACTGGCATTAAAGTTGTGAGCATGCAATTCGGCTACTGCGTAAATTAGTTTGCTCTGGAGCCCTCCTCCCTGAGCTAAGACAAAAATGTGTGAACCAGAGGCTAAAAAACTGTGAGCTAGCTCACACTAACTCAGCTTAGAGGGAACACTGACCCTCTGTTAAGATGGCAACAGCACACCGCAGGCTCTCTTGGATGGTGTCCAGTATAGATTGAGCTTTGCATACTTGCCGTGGGCCTGGGTTACTTGGGCAGCAGGCTGAGCCCAGAACCAGGGGGGTAATTTTTGGAGGGGGCCACAGCCACACTGCTTCAAGTTAGAGAGAAAGGGTTGGATTTTGTGGAAATTTTCCTCTGGTGGAAAGTGATCTTTGCCAATCCCCCTTCTCACAGTGGACCCCTGAATCCCCCCTCCCAGGAAGAACATTTCAATGGCAATTTTGGGTTGCAGTTGGCAGGGGGGAGGG